AGTCTCACTGAGGGCCGGGAGTGTGGCTTAGTGGTAGAGTGTTTGCCTTGCATGCATGTGGTAGATAGAGTGCTAGCCTTGAGCAAAAAGCAGCTTTAGGACAGTGCCCAGGCCCCAAAAGTCCAAGCCCCAGGACTGGCCAAAAATAGGGTTTCACTGATTTTCTTGCCCAGGCTTGCTTCAAATGCTGATGCTCCTTTGGTCTCAGCCTTCTGAGTAAGTAGGTTGAATTACAGGCCTGAGCCACAGGTACCTGGCTCTGTTTTGTCTTTGTTGGTGGGGGTGGGGGTGAAGGGGCTTCAACTCTGGGCCTAGATGCTGTCCCTGAGTCTCTTTGTGCTCAAGGCTAGTGCTTTACCACTTGAGCCACAGCGCCACTTCTGGCTTTTGAAGATAAGAGTCTCACTGGGTCTTCCCTGTCTGGGCTGGCTTTGAACCGTGATCCTCAGATCTCAGCCTCCTGAGTAGCTAGGATTACAGGCGTGAGCCACCAGCACCAGGCTGTTGTGTCTTTTTGAGGCAGGGTTTTGCCATGTAGAGGAGTGTGATTTCAAACTCATCCTCATCCTCCTCAGTCTCCTGAGTGCTAGGAATACAGATGTGTGCCACCCTGCCTGGTTCTGGGCATTTTTTTTCTCTGGGTATTTGTTTCATGGGAGTCTTTTCAGTTTAGTACATATTTTTTTATTTTTCCTGTCAGTTGTGGGACTTGTACTCAGCCTGGGCGCTGTCCCTGAGCCTCTGTGCTCCAGGCTAGTTCTCTGCTACTTGAGCCACAGCGCCACTTACAGTTTTTGAGTGGTTAATTGGAGATGAGAGTCTCACAGGGACTTTTCTGCCCAGGCTGTCATCGAACAGTGTTCTGCAGACCTCAGCCTCCTGAGTAGCTAGGATGACAGGTGTGAGCCACTGGCGCCCAACTTCTTCAAAATTCTTCTTTAAATGCTAGATATAAAAGAAATAAAAGGCTCTTGTGCAAAATAAACACAACCAAGACCAGCAAACAGCTAAGAGGTGGTAAGTGTGAGTTTCCCCTCCCCCGCCTTCAGAGAGCGTGGTAGGGCGTGTCTCCTTTGGGCTGGCTCTGGGGTGGGGGTTCATGTGCACAGTATTTTGGGGAGCAGGTGGCTGGGCCCGTGCACACCTTTCTTCGTTGTCGTCCATCCTTTGTGTCCTGGTGCTTGGTGTGACCACCTCCAGTGTCAGTGGTGTCAGCACAGGCTGGGGCTGTGCGTCCCGGTCGCCAGGCCCTGGACTTGCTTCTCACAGAAACTGACGAGGTGTGACGGTCACTTCAGCCCCTCTAGCCCTGGGAAACTGAGCATTTGTCAGCTTGGCCTGGCTTTCAGCCTTTACAGTCTGGCCCCAGAGTCCTTTCACTTCCTGTCACATGCCTCTGGCTGTCTGCCTGGTTCCCAGGCTTGTGTTCCCTTCTGGAAGCCCCAGACACACCCCCAGGGCCATGCCCATCTGCCTCGGCTCCCAGACAGAAGCACGTGCTAGCGCACGCTAGGGTCCCAGCCCTGCCGCCCGCCCGCCCCCTCGGCTGGGCTCCGGGGTGAGTGCTCACCGGGTCTTTGGCTTGGTGATGGACGGCCCTGTCTTGTCATTCGGCCCAGGCAGCCCATAGAAGCTTCGTGCAGCTTCACACACCGCAGGGGAAAGCCCGGGAGGGCCAAGGGATTTGCTGAACGTGCCGTGTTGTCATGAGAAGCGCAGGGCGGCGTGGCGATGGGGGAGAGGGTGTGGGCAGAGGGGCCTTCCTCACCCTCATGTCCCGCATACTTGCATAGTTTCTGGCCTGGCTGCTTCTGCCTGCTGTGGAGGCCGCCTCCTGAAGCCATTGCCACCGGGCACCGTCGTTCCGGCTGCTCTCGGTTACTCTGGCCAAAGGCACAGGTGAGGGAAAGTATGAAGATGAGGCTTGACTTACAGTGCGCATGCTCGGGAAATTGAGAGGCGTGTGAGGGCCTGGCTACAGCGCAGGGCAAGGCTTTCCTGCTGCCTTGTCTCACGGGGGAGGGAGGGCTGCTTGGGGTCCAATCTTGGGCAGTGAGCAGGCAGAACAAGCCTTCTGCTACAGCCCCAGTCATGGGGGTTATCTATCTATCTATCTATCTATCTATCTATCTATCTATCTATCTATCTATCTATCTATCTATCTACCTACCTCATTCTGGCCTTGGAGTCTTCGTATGTTCCAGGGTGGTCTCACCTTCTCCACCTGGGACTATAGGTGTGTGCTGCCATACAGTTTAGCTCTGTTTAGTAATAATTCACTCTTGGGACAGCTCAAAACCTCCTTTCACAATAAAGCCATGAATCCATTCACAAAGGCTCTGTCCTCATGACCCAGTCACCTCTTATCAGGGAAGCTGGGGAGCCCAGAAGGTGTGCCTCCTGCTGACCCAGCTGGATCTTGGACTCAAGATCCTCCTGTTGGGGAGGATGGGATGGGAAGGGGAAACAAAGGAGGAGGCTACAATGCTTGATAAGAAAATGTGCTCATTATCTTGCCCATGTAATTGTAACTGCTCTGTACAGTATTTTCACAATAAAAAAATTTTTTTTAAAAAAAGATCCTCCTGTTTCCACCTCCTTGGTAACTAGGATTGCGGGGTGTACCTAGAGTTGAGGATTGCTGTGTTCAGGATGGGCTTGGGGTTGGCCCTGCTCCTGCTCTGCTGAGGTTCTGATTTTCTCTTCTGCTCAGTCATGAAACTGGAGCCAGAAGTTTGAACTTTTGATCAGTTACCCAGGAGCACATCTTCTAAATCAAAACAGCTATCCAGGTGCTAGTGGCTCATGACTGAAATCCTAACCACTCAGGAAGCAGAGATCTGAGGCTGAAGGTTCAAAGCCAGCCCAGGCAGACAAATCCAAGAGATTTTTTTTTTTTTTTTTATAGTCAATTGTGGGGCTTGAACTCTGGGTCTGGGCGCTGTCCCTCAGCTCAAGGGTAGTGCTCTACCCCTTGAGCCACAATGCCATTTTGGGTTTTCTGGTAGTTTATTGGAGATAAGAGTCTCACACACTTTCCTTCCTGCCTGTGCTGGCTTTGAACCGTGATTCTCAGATCTTAGCCTCCTTAGTAGAGGATTACAGGTGTGAGCCACCAGTAGTGCATGGATCAAGAGGTTTTTTTTGTCAGTTGTGGGGCTTGAAATCTGGGCATAAAGGTTGTCCCTCAGCTCTTGAGCCCAAGGCGAGTGCTCTTCCACTTGAGCCACAGCGCCACTCCCAGTTTTCTGGAGGTTTATTGGAGGTAAGAGTTTTATGGATTTTCCTGCCCAGGCTGGCTTTGAACTGCGATCCTCAGATCTCAGCCTCCTGAGTAGGTAGGTTGACACGTGTGAGTCACTAGTGCCTGGCTCCAAGACATTCTTCTTCATTTTTTTTTTTTTTTTTGGATCTGGTCGTGGGGCCTGAACTCTGGGCCTGGGCGCTGTCCCTCAGCTCTTCAGCTCAAGGCTAGCGCTCTACCACTTGAGCCACAACACCACTTCCGGCTTTTTTTGCTTATGTGGTACTGAGGAATCGAACCCAGGGCCTCATGCATGCAAGGCAAGCGCTCTAGCTCTGAGCCACCTTCCCAGCCCATCCAAGAGATTCTTATATCTAATTAACCAGCAAAAATGTAGACGTGGAGTATGTGTCCAATGGCTGAGTGCCAGTTGTGAGTAAAAAGCCAAATGGGGCTGGGAAGGTGGCTCAGTGGTAGAGCGCTTGCCTTGCATGCATGAGGCCCTGGGTTCCATTCCTCAGTACCATATAAGCAAAGAGAAAAAAGCCGGGAGTGGCGCTGTGGATCAAGTGGTAGAGCGCTAGCCTTGAGCTGAAGAGCTGAGGGACAGCACCCAGGCCCAGAGTTCAGGCCCCATGACTGGACCCAAAAAAAATTTTTTTTTAATTAGATTTTAATTATTTTTAAGTAGTTGTACAACCATTCAACAAGTCAGTTTATAAGTACAGTGCATTTTGATTGATGTCACCCCCTTTTAGCTAATATTGTTTTTAATCAAGGGAATGAAAAATGTTTCTAAGCCTTTTTTTTTTGTTGTTGTTGGTTGGAGGGCTTGAACACTGGGCCTGGGCGCTGTCCCTCAGCTCTTCAGCTCAAGGCGATCGCTCTACCACTTGAGCCACAGCGCCACTTCTGGTTTTCTGGTGATTTATTGGAGATAAGAGTCTCATGGATTTTCCTGCCTGGGCTGGCTTTGAACCTCCATCCTCAGATCTCAGCCTCCTGAGTAGCTAGGATGACAGGTGGGAGCCACAGACGCCCCGGCTTTTTTTTTTTTTTTAAACATAGTGCTGGGAATGAAACTGGTGCTGGGGCCTGGCGCGTGGAAGGGGAATTGCTCTGCACGGAGCCACAACCCCCTCCCTGTTGCTCCTCGCGCAGAATTTGTCTGTAGAGCCACAAATACCTGAGGAAATTGGGGGATGAAGAAGCCTATTTCAGGGCTGGGAAGGTGGCTCAGTGGTAGAGAGCTTGCCTCGCATGCATGAAGCTGTGGGTTCGATTCCTCAGTACCTCATACACAGAAAAAGCCCGAAGTGGTGCTATGGCTCTAGTGGTAGAAAGCTAGCCTTGAGCAAAAGAAGCTCAGGGACAGCGCCCAGGCCCTGAGTTCAAGCCCCAGGACTGGCAAAAAAAAAAGAGATCGATTCCAGAAGACAGCGGAAACAAACCAGATTTGGGATGAGCTTACGAGAGAGGGCAGCAGAGCATTGAGGACGCACGTGCCAGGCCTGGTCTGTCCCGGTCTGTGAACCCCAGGGCATTCGCCTCAGCTGCGCTGCAGGTTTTGCCGGTGCCGAGCGCGCTGCTCTGATTTCAAAATGCCTGGTAATCTCTTGCCTTCTCCCCGAGACATGAGGAGAAGGGGGGGGGCGGGGCCCCTTTCGCTGTCCTCCGGACAATGGAAGTAGGGTTCCATGGTCCTCCCCACCTGCAGCGCCGGCCGGCCTGGCTGACTCCCACTCTTTCAGCAGGGCCCACGGTCTCCAGCTCCTGGGAAGATGTCCGCTCCAGACCCACCCTTGGGAGGGACGCCTAGGCCGGGCCCTTCCCCGGGCCCCGGCCCCTCGCCCGGGGCCATGTTGGGCCCCAGCCCGGGCCCCTCGCCAGGCTCCGCACACGGCATGGTGGGGCCCAGCCCTGGCCCACCCTCAGCAGGACACCCGCTCCCCAGCCAGGGTCCCGGCGGGTACCCTCAGGACGCCATGCACCCGATGCACAAGGTAGGAGTCTGCGCCAGCACCGGCCTCCTCCCCGCCCCCCAGGTGCCCCTGGGGCCAGGCAGCCCTGGCATGGCTTGGCTCCCCACAGGGGTGGGGGTGGGGTGGGGCCCTACCAGCTTCCCCCTCCCTGCAGGACTGTCCACACGCTCCATCCCACCCAATGCCCCTCGCAGCCCTCCAGGGGTGGTGGTGGTTGCGCGCTGGGTCTCACCCCTCCCCACGCACACATACATACGCATGTATACACACACACACGCACACACGCCTGACCTCGCACCCTAGCCATACCATGCTTCCCAGGCCCCTGGCATCTTGAGGCATTTCGCCGCCTCTCGTCCCCGAGTGTTTCTGCAGCTCAGGTGTAATACATCTTAACCCTTCCCTTCCTGGGGGAGTTTCTGGTCCTACACCATTTGAACCCCTCGCTTCCTGGCTTCGGTACTCCTCTGCTAGCAGGGCCCAGCCTCTCCTCCTCCTGTCTGTGCCCCCCCCCCACACTCAGCACCTGTCTGAAGTCCCCTGTGTCCAGCACCCTGCTAGGGCGCCATCCATGCCCCTAGGGTGTCCCGCCAGCACCGGGCTGGGCAAGGCTCCGGTCACTCGGGGCAGTGCCCGGGCCTAGTGCTTCCTTCCATGTTTCGGTGCACACGGAGCTGCAGCCGCTTTGTCCCCTGTGTGTCCCCCCGGAGGCCCAGGAGCAGGTGCTCGATCAGGAGGTCTCAGGCAGGGTTGCCGTGGCCAGTCATGGCAGTCATCTTTCTGGCCTCCAGGGCCAGGGCACAGGGCTGGCCGTCGAGGCCTCGCCTCCATCCTGAGACTCGTGTCCATCTCATCACAGAAAGGGGCTCCGAGTTCCCGCCCAGCCCGCTGCAAGCCCACCTTCCTGCAGGGTCCTGGGTGGCCGTCCTTGGCTGGCCATCACTGCCTTGACACCCAAGCCGATGGCGTGACCAAGCTTGGAAGCTCAGCTCTTGGCATGTGGGGGTCTAGTATCTGCCAAGGCAGTGGGGGGTGGACGCTGGGTGACTGACCCTCTCCGCTTCCCTGCTGACCCCGCCTCGTCATTGTCCCTCTCGCAGCCCATGGAGTCCATGCACGAGAAGGGCATAGCGGACGACCCGCGCTACAACCAGATGAAAGGAATGGGCATGCGCTCCGGGGGCCACGCGGGGATGGGGCCCCCGCCCAGCCCCATGGACCAGCACTCCCAAGGTGCCGTTGTGGTTCTGAGACCATGTTCCCCCCTGGGGCTTCTCGGCAGGCGGACCAGAGAGGGCGGTGCGGTTGAGTGAGGGATCCCCGCCAGGGCTGTCCGGCGGGGCTTTGGCGGGTGACTTGGGGAGGAAGCCTGTGGCCGGGCAGAGTTGGTAGTCAGTACGGGGCGTAGATGGCTACCTGTCCTGATGTTGGTGAGGGCTGCAGGGGGCGCGGCAGGTGACACGCAGGGTCTCCTCGTACCAGGGACAGCAAGCTGTGGGGGCTCCACAGGAATGGGACCAAGGGAAGGGCCGACCACCCGAGATGGGCTGCACCCACAGTCTTGCGAGCCGTCGGATGCTCTCGTTTGAATCAGGAGAAGGGGTTTCGGGTACCATCTTGGAGGAGGTGGCATGGCTGTGGCAGAATGTGTCTGCATGCCGCTCAGTGTCCACCCTGCTCTCCCCTGCAGGTTACCCCTCCCCGCTGGGGGGCTCTGAGCACGCCTCCAGTCCCGTTCCAGCCAGTGGCCCATCCTCGGGTCCCCAGATGTCATCCGGGCCAGGAGGGGCCCCGCTAGATGGGGCTGACCCCCAGGCTTTGGGGCAGCAGAACCGGGGCCCAACCCCATTTAACCAGAACCAGCTGCACCAGCTCCGAGCTCAGATCATGGCCTACAAAATGCTGGCCAGGGGCCAGCCCCTTCCCGACCACCTGCAGATGGCTGTGCAGGGCAAGCGGCCGATGCCCGGGATGCAGCAGCAGATGCCAACACTACCTCCTCCTTCAGTGTCCGCCACGGGCCCTGGTCCCGGCCCCGGCCCCGGCCCTGGCCCTGGTCCTGGCCCAGCACCTCCAAATTACAGCAGGCCTCACGGTAAGACCTGCCACACTGCTTCCTTCTCAGGGGGGTCGGCACGAGTGGGGGGGTGGGGGGGTGCCGGACGGTCTGCCTTGAGCCCACTACTCTTGTGCTGCTCACGTGGGCAGCTCCATCTGCAGCTCCCCTGAAACCTGCCGCTGGGGACCATTGTGGGGGAAGGAGACAGGGTGGAGCTGACCTGGAAGTGGGCGTGGCCTAGGGCTGCAGGATCCAATATTTAGTGTCCATTGTTCCCTCTGCCTGCAGGTATGGGAGGGCCTAACATGCCCCCTCCAGGACCCTCAGGTGTGCCCCCTGGGATGCCTGGCCAGCCCCCCGGAGGACCGCCCAAGCCCTGGCCTGAAGGTAAGCTCCCCTCTGTCTTAGTGGCTTGGGTGCTCCTCGGGTGCGGTTGAGTCAGTGGACAAAGTGGATGGGTTCCACTCAGGTGTGTTTGGCTGCTGAAGAGTAATCACTAGCGTCAGCTCTCGTGGAAGTGGAGCACAGCCGTTCCCTTGCCCGCAGGGACATTTCCAGGCCCCAGTGGGTGCCTGTCACCGTGGATGGGAGCGAACCCTGTGTCCGCTGTAATGGGCTTTTTCCTTCAGTATTAAGCTTTGAATTGAAGGTATTGTGCTGGCACGGCAGCCGCTCTGACACACCCAGCCTGTAAGGCCATTGTTTTGTTTTTTTTTTTTTGCCAGTCTTGGGGCTTGAACTCAGGGCCTGCTTCTTTTGCTCAAGCCTACCACTTGAACCACAGGACCACTTCTGGCTTTTTTCTGTGTATGTGGTACTGAGGACTCGAACCCAGGTCTTCCTGCATGCTAGGCAGGCACTCTCACTGAGCCACCTTCCCAGCCCAGGGTTATTATTATTATTGTTGGTCGTGATGCCTGAACTCTGGGCCTGGGCGCTGTCCCTCAGCTCTTCCGCGCAAGGCGAGCGCTCTACTACTTGAGCCACAGAGCCACTTCCAGCCTTTTCTCCTTATGTGGTGCTGAGGAATCGAATCCAGGGCCTCATGCATGCAAGGCAAGCGCTCTACCACTGAGCCACCTTCCCAGCCGAGTTATGGCTTCTGTTACTGCATCTCTGATAGTTATTAGAGTTCTAACAACTACCAACCATAAAAAGGAACACATGTAATATGGTGACATTAAATGCAATTGTGCCATCCGCTCTGGCCTGGCGGGAGGGGAGCTGCGCTGTGCTGCGCGTGCTGGGTGAGGAGGTGACGGGGGCTCAGTGCCCCAGATGCGGCAGCGGCACAGCCCCTCAGAGCAGCACGCTCGACAACTCTGAGGAACGGCTTGGTTCTGGAATTTCAAGTGGATTATTTCTGGACAGCTGCTGGCCTCGGGTGACTGGAATGGCAGCAGGTGAATCTGCGGCTGAGGGGCTACTGTAGAGGATGGGATGGGGGGCGGGGGGACTGCTGGCCTCCCGGGCTGCCCGCACGTAGCTCGCATTGCCCGCAGGGCTGGGGGGCCAGTGTGGAGGCTGAGGTCTCGAGGCATAAATTCCAAGGCCACAAGGAGTGCGCCCTGACCTGCAGCATGGCCCTGGCTGCACACAGGTGTGTGAGTGTGTCCACATTCTCTAGCCTGCGCATTTGCAGCCCAGAATGGCCCAGTCGCTCAGCCCAGTGCTTCTCCCCCTCATCTCTTCCCAGGACCCATGGCAAATGCTGCTGCCCCCACAAGCACCCCTCAAAAGCTGATCCCCCCGCAGCCGACGGGCCGCCCTTCGCCGGCACCCCCTGCCGTGCCTCCCGCCGCCTCCCCCGTGATGCCACCACAGACACAGTCCCCCGGGCAGCCAGCCCAGCCTGCACCCCTGGTTCCACTGCACCAGAAGCAGAGCCGGATCACCCCTATCCAGAAGCCCCGGGGCCTTGACCCCGTGGAGATCCTGCAGGAGCGCGAGTACAGGTGAGCGCCCGGGTCGGCCCCCCGGGGGTGCTTGCGGCCCTGCCCTTACTGTGGGGCGGTCATCCCGCTTGCTGTGGCCCCCGTGCCCGTCCGCAGGAGCCCTTGGAGGCTGGCTGCCTCCACGCGTGGCCTCCTGGAGGCACAGGCCCGTCAGGGTGCCCGCAGGTGGCCCTGGCAGAGATGGCCCTGTCACACCTCCTGTCTTTCTGCTCTGGGCACCCAGGCTTCAGGCTCGCATCGCACACCGAATTCAGGAACTTGAAAACCTCCCTGGGTCCCTGGCCGGGGATCTGCGAACCAAAGCGACCATTGAGCTCAAGGCCCTCAGGCTGCTCAACTTCCAGAGGCAGGTGGGTTGGGCGCTGCCCTGGCTCTGGGGCCCTAGTTCAGGCAGCCCTACCTGCCTGGCCCCGGGGCCCTTCCCTGAGCCGTGCTCTTCCTGTGGCCTGCCCCTGCCCCCAGCCTGAAGCAGGAAGCCTGAGGGGGAGGGGGGTGCAAAGGGAGGGAGCTCTGCCCGGTGAAGTGCCCCCTGCATCCCCGCGAGGACGGGGGTTGTAAAGGCCCAGGATGGGGGTGGTCGCTGGCGTTCCCTCGTGCGTGCTGGGCGTGCAGAGCCGTCGTGTGCAACACCAGCATCCCCTCTCCCTGCAGCTGCGCCAGGAGGTGGTTGTGTGCATGCGGAGGGACACGGCGCTGGAGACGGCTCTCAACGCCAAGGCCTACAAGCGCAGCAAGCGCCAGTCCCTGCGCGAGGCCCGCATCACCGAGAAGCTGGAGAAGCAGCAGAAGATCGAGCAGGAGCGCAAGCGCCGCCAGAAACACCAGGTGCGACCCGGTGTTCTGGCTCCTGACTACCACGGGCCCTGTTTGGGCCTGGGCACCCAGGAACAAAGGGCAAAGCTGAATAGTAGGGGCATGGCAGGAGAGGATCACACCTCCTGTCACCATGAAAGGTCATGGGGGAGCAAGTGAAGTAGGAACAGGGCGTGGAGTTGTTGTCCCGGACACTAAGGTGGCGGCCTGTGGGAGGGAACACGTGGGCTGAGAGCATTCTGCAGAGCGGAAGGTGCAAAGGCCCTGGGGCTGCAGTGTAGCTGTACTTTCCCTGAGAGGCAGAGGCATGCTGCAGCTATGGCAGTGAGTGACAGCCAAGGATGGAGGAGGTGACAGCAGATTGTGGGCTGTGAGGGGGATTTGGGCTTCTGCTCTCAGTGAGCAAGGAGCCACGGAGGGCTCCAACCTAACAAGGTCAGTCCGGGAAACCATAGTCTCCAACTAAGTAGGATGGAGCTCTCCTCCTCCTCCTCCTCCTCCTCCTCCTCCTCCTCCCCCCCCTCCTCCTCTTCCTCCTCTTCCTTCTACTCCCTTTCCCCTTTTCCTCCTCTCCGACCCCCCCTTGCCAGTCCTGAGGTTTGAACTCAGGGCCTGGCGCTGTCCCTGAGCTTCTTTTGCTCAAGGCTAGCACTCTACCACTTGAGCCACAGCACCATTTCCAACTTTATCTGAATAAATTGGAGATAAGAGGCTCAGGGACTTTTCTGCCCAGGCTGGCTTTGAACCGTGATCCTCAGATCTCAGCCTCCTGAGTAGGTAGGATTATAGGTGTGAGCCACTGGTGCCTGGCTTTGTATTTTTTTTAAACAATGAATATTTATTGCTGGCATAACTTAAAATAATGCACAAAAATGAACTCAACATTCAGAATTAACTACTTGGTATTTATCATTACACCCTTTTTTCTGTGAGTATATTAATCAGAAGTTCAATAGTCTATTAAAATAACCCACATTGATCCTTTTTTGGGGGGGCTGGGCCTAAGCTCCTTTTGCTCAAAGCTAGCACTCTACCACTTCAGCTACCGCCATTTCCTGTCTGGGCTGGCTTCAAATTACGAACATCAATATCATGAGGATTACAGAGAATTCCAGAGCCGCCAGCATCTGGCTACTTCCAGCTTTATTGCTGGTTAATTGAAAAGAGTCTCCGAATTGTCCTCCATGGCTTTGAAAAACGATCCTTAGATCTCAGCTTCCCGAGTGCATAGGATTACAGGCCCGTGTCCGTTTGGGGAGGTGGAGCATACTTCTCGCATACTTTGAGCTTTCCAAAATTAACCGTTATATTGGGCTGGGAAGGTGGCTCAGTGGTAGAGCGCTTGCCTTGCATGCGTGAGGCCCTGGGTTCAATTCCTCAGCACCACATAAGCAAAGAGAAAAAAGCCGGGAGTGGCACTGTGGCTCAAGTGGTAGAGTGCGAGCCCTGAGCTGAAGAGCTGAGGGACAGTGTCCAAGTCCAGAGTTCAGGCCCTATGACCAGACCCAAAAACAAAACAAAACAAAATTAACCGTTATACTGGGTAGGCAGTCTTGGGCCTGATAGTCCCTTGAAGGAAATTCCGAGCAGTGGAGTGACGCGGCTGGTTACAGTGCCAGGCTGCCCCCCCCCCCCCCCAGAGGCGCCGTGCGCCCCCTGGGCACGAAGGCACTCCCACCACACCTGGGCCCTCACTGAGTTTGTCGCTGCAGGCCGGAAGCGGAACCCGCAAAGCCTGCGCGTTGGTTCTGTGGACCGTGCTGTCTTACCTTGGTCGTTGTTGCAGCTCTGGGGTGGGGGGTGGGGAGCATGCGCTCACCCGCCCAGCGGGTTGCACGGTTGTCTGCTTCCTCCTCAGTGCGCTCTTTGTGCGTGTCCCCGTAGGAATACCTCAACAGCATTCTCCAGCACGCCAAGGACTTCAAGGAGTACCACAGATCCGTCACAGGCAAAATCCAGAAACTCACCAAGGCGGTGGCCACCTACCATGCCAACACCGAGCGGGAGCAGAAGAAAGAAAATGAGCGGATCGAGAAGGAGAGGATGCGGAGGCTCATGGTAGACACGGCTTCTTGCCGGGTGTCTGTGCGGGTCGGGCAGCAGTCGTGCTCAGTGCAGGGCGGGCTCACGTGGCCGCAGGCCAGGCCACTTGGAGGTTTTGCTGGTGAAAAGGCGCCTCAGGGTTTTGGCTGCTAGGTGATTGGTCTTACTTTGGGTGACCCCCCCCAATTTGGCTTTGTAGCAGCGCTAAGACTGGGCCCACGCAGAGAGAAGAATGGGATGTTGGGTGTAGGGGTTTGCGGACTCGCACACAGCCTTGGTGCGTGGCTTGTACTCTGTGGCTCATGACCCCCATTGCCCAGGGTCCAGCTCTGTCGGGTGTGGACACCGTCCTGGAGGGGCGGCCCTGCTGCAGCGGGGCTCTGTGTGTGTGTGTGGGGGGGGGTTCTGAGTATCCACAGGCATGTCTGTCTTGCAAACCAGTTCCCACCCTTCGTAGGCGGAGGATGAGGAGGGCTACCGCAAACTCATCGACCAGAAGAAGGACAAGCGCCTGGCCTACCTCCTGCAGCAGACGGACGAGTACGTGGCCAACCTCACCGAGCTGGTGCGGCAGCACAAGGCCGCCCAGGTCGCCAAGGAGAAAAAGAAGAAAAAGAAAAAGAAGGTGCGCCGGGCGTCTCTCCACGGGTTGTGGTTGCTGTCTGCCCCGGTGGCCTTGACCTTGGGGGTCAGGCTGTGATCCTGTCTCTTTCCACTTCTAGAAGGCAGAAAACGCCGAAGGACAGACACCGGCAATCGGCCCGGATGGCGAGGTGAGGATGCGGGGTTTTCTTTGGGCATGCCGGCCGGCCTGCCCGCAGCGCTCTGCCTCAGTCCATCAGGAAATGGGCCCATGCTCTCCCACAGTGCTATGCCCCAGCCCCAGCTTCTTCCTAAGTCCCAAGGCCCTGTCCAGCTGACAGCGGAGACTTAAAGCAGACGTGAGTGCGTCTCCCCCACTCCCCGTTTGGAAGAGGGAACTGGGGTGTAGCTTCAAGCTGGAGCCCTTGATGGGCATTCGCAAGGGCCTGGCTTCCATCCCCATTGCTCTCTCCCAGAAGAGTTTGTAGGTGGTTCATTTTCATCTATTGATTTCTTTTTCTAAGCCATTTGTGGGTAAGATGTGCACGTGACGCTCCGTACCGCCTCACGTCAGCACATACCTCCGCAGACCCAGCAGCCCAGACGGGGGCATGGACACTGCCTTGGCACTGGTAGCTCTGGGTTCAGATTCCCACAGACGGTGGAGTGCTTGAGGCCCTGGTTCAGTCCTCGGGTGTGTGCAGCTGCAGCGCTGAAGCCCAGCTGCTTGGGAAGGGAGCAGGAGGATCACGGGAGTCTAGGAGCTCCAGGCCGGTGTGGGCAGCATGGAGAGACCCCATCTCCAAACAGAAAAAGACTTCCTCCAGTGTCTGTCCAGTGCGTTGCCCTGTCAGCCCTCGTGGCTCCAGCAGAGCCCTGTTTTGTGTGGTCTGCTCCTGGGCGGAGACGTCGCTGACAAGCCAGGCCCACGTTTCACGGTGGCGCCTTCTGTGTGCAGCTGCCTCCTGTTTGCTAGTGATGTCATGTAACTAGCCTGTTTGGGCAAGAAGCCCCCGGAAATAACCCTGGAGCCCAGGTCCCTGTCCGCCACGCTGGCAGTGTGTCGTGGGTCTGTGGCGTCATCAGTGGTGTTGACCTTGGTCCCTCGATGTCTGGGAAGGCAGCTCCTCGGCAGTGTTCTCTCCTTTGATCATTTTGAGACAGGATTTCAAAACATTTCAAATATCTAGCCTGGGTTCCATCCCATGGCGCCTGCCTCCGCCAGCTGAGGCAGAGCAGGTTTCCTTTTAACCTTATAAAGAACATCTCCTATCCTTAGATCTCATGCTGGTGAGTCTGTGCCAGGTGAGCTTCCACCCTCCGGATGCCGCCACTATGCTTTGCATGTAGCAACGCCTGTCACCGTTTCCGGAGCACAGTCGCCCGCGTCAGGGACAGGCTTACAGATCCCTACTCAGTGCATTATAATCTTAACCTCATCTTCATTTTCATGATTCATTTTGGCCTTCATACTGGTGCTTGTGGGGGTGCTGGGCATTGAATTTAGGGCCCACTGTTTGCTAAGCAGCACTTCAACCCATTTTGCTTTTTTTTTGGCCAGTCCTGGGGCTTGAACTCAGGGCCTAGGCACTAATCCCTGAGCTGCTTTTGTTCAAGGCTAGCACTGTACCATTTGAGCCACAGCGCCACTTCCAGCTTTTCTGCTTGTACGGTATGGAGGAAGTGAAGGCTTCACTTGTTTCCCTCCGCTGTGTGCGCTCTGCTCCCAGTTGTCAAGTGCAAGCTCCTCGCTCCGGCTGCCTTTCCTAAACCCTGCAGCCCTGGGGGTTCCTCAGATGGGTAGAGCCGCCAGCCCTGGGCGGTGAGGCTCCTTTCTACCTCCTACTGGCCATGGCTGAGCTTTTCTGGTAGTGCAAGTATGCAGTCTGCTGGGGCTTGGAACCTGGGGCCTCCTCCAGGCTCTGCTCTTCTGTGGAGCTGTGCCCAGCAGCAGCCTGTGTGATAATTTTTGGAGTGCGTGACCCTGCGAGGACTGGGAGGCGTGATCCTACGCTGGTGCGTCCTACGCTGGTGCGTCCTACGCTGGTGCTCTCCTGCCTCCTGTTCTCTGCCTTGCAGTCAGCTGGGGGGAGTGGGGAGAAGTTGGGACACCCCAGAATTCTCGAGCAGTTGGGTGGGAATTAGGGATGGGGAGAGGTTTGGATGGCAGCACCTTCCGCCCTTTGCTATTTACTCCCAAGGGCAAAGGTCGCTGTGACCCTAAAGGTAGACTGTGGGGCTACAAGAAAGCTGTTTTATTTTTAAAATAGCCCATGGGCTGGGCACGCAGCTTGTCCTTAGCATGCATGAGGCTCTGGGTTCCATCCCCAGCACTGAATGAAAAAGACTGGAATTAAAGAAGAAGGTGGAAGCCGGGCGCAGGTGGCTCACGCCTGTAATCCCTAGCTACTCAGGAGGCTGAGATCTGAGGATCGCGGTTCAATGCCAGCCCAGGCAGGAAAGTCCAGGAGACTCTTATCTCCAATAAACCACTAGAAAGCCAGAAATGGTGGTGTGGCTCAAGTGGTAGAGTGCCCACCTTGAGCTGAAGAGCTCAGGGACAGCGCCCAGGCCCAGAGTTCAAGCCCCACGACCGACCACAAAAAAAAGAAGGTGGAAAGACTGATGTTTGTGGATTATCAGAAGTATTATTGAGAAAATGGTCATAGGTGGTCTAACATACCCAAGGTGATCCAAGAAGTCAAATCAGTACCCATCCAAACCCCAATATCATTCCTCACTGAGAAAACAATCCAAAACTCGTATGGAACCATAGAAGGCCTAGAGCAATCCTGGCCAAAAAAAGCATTGTTGGCAATATCAGAATTCCAGACTTAAACTTTACTACAGAACCATAGTAACAAAATCAGCTATTTACTGGAAAAACAGACCTGAAGACTGGTGAAACAGACTAGAAGACACAGAAATAAAGCATATACCTACTGCCATCTGATACTTGACAAGGGAACCAAACGTACATGTTGGAAAAAAGAGTTCACAAATGGGCTTGGGAAACGGCACATCCATAAGCACAAGACTGAAGCCAGATCCCGATGATCTCTTTTACCTATGTGGATCGAAGACCTCAGTGTAAGAACTGAAACCTTGAAACTTCTACGAGAGGGAACAGGAGGAACATTAGAACTTACCAGCACAGGGCGGAACTTCTTGGGTAGAATCCAGGAGTCTCAGCAAATAGGAGAATTGACAAATGGAATTGCATCAAGGTAAAACGTTTCTGCAAAGCCAAGGACATAGGACTAAGCTAAAAACAGCCTGCAGAGTGGGAGGTCTTTTCTAATTAAACATCTGACAAGGGCCTAATATCCAGAATATAAAAGTAGCTTAAAAATCTAAAATCTTTAGCCAGGCTCCGGTGGCTCACATCTGTAATCCTAGCTACTCAGGAGGCTGAGATCTGAGGATCCCAGTTCAAAGCCAGCCCTGGCAGGAAAGTCCAGTAGACTTTTTTTTTTTTTGGAGGTCTGGTTATGGGGCCTGAACTCTGGGCCTGGGCGCTGTCCCTCAGCTCTTCAGCTCAAGGCTAGTGCTCTACCACTTGAACCACAGCGCCACTTCCGGCTTTTTTCTTTTTGCTTGTGTGGTGCTGAGGAATCGAACCCAGGGCCTCAGGCATGCAAGGCAAGCGCTCTACCACTGAGCCACCTTCCCAGCCTGTCCGAGAGACTCTTATCTCCAATAAACCACTAGAAAACCAGAAGTGGCGCTGTGGCTCAAGGGGTAGAGTGCTTGCCTTGAGCTGAAGAGTGCAGGGACAGCGCCCAAGCCCAGAGTTCAAGCCCTACGACCAACCAAAAAAAAATCTAAATCCTCAAGGAATAACCTGATGGGTAAATTAGCACAGGAGCAAATAGAGACCTCTCAGAAGTAAGAATCACCAATAAACACATAAGACATGTTTATTGTCTCTGGACATGCAAATCAAAACATTTCAGATATCATCTCACCCCAGTATGATTGGCCAACATCAATAATACCATCAACAACAGATGCTTTTGGGGGACATGGGGGAAAAGGAACCCTTTTACACTGCTCGAGGGGTGTGAACTGATGCACCCACTATGCAGGCAATATGGAGATTCCTCAAACAACTGAACCTAGAACGACCCTGTGAGCCCGCCGTACCCCTCCAGGGCTTTCATCCAAGACGTTGGAAGTCAGGGTACATAGCCAAGTTATGGAAACAGCCCAGATGCCCTCGAACCAGCCAAAGGATCAAGAAAACTGTGATGAGATTGTATCAGTCCATCAGGAAGAGTAATATGTCATGGGAAGGAAGAGTCGTATGCAGGGAAATGGCTGGACGTGGAAACAGTTATGTTAAGTGAAGTAAGTTGGGCTCAGCGAGCCAAAGGGTACACGTTCTCTCTGATTTGTGGAAGTTTGCTCTATAAAATATAAACATGGATATATATACAAGGCCCTGTGCCTATGTGTACATTCAAATTGATTGGAGTATGGTAGACTTGGATCTCATCTGAACAACTAACAGTTTACAGAATAAATACCAGGGAGCTGAAGCACTCCAGGGCAGGGGGAGGGCCGGCGATGCAGTCGTATTGAGTATACATATGTGGAAATGGAACCCCAGGGTACCATGAGGGATGGGTGGGGCTGGAAAAGACAGGCGGAGGATGGTGGGAGAGGTGGCATCGAGCAGGTGCGCGGTGCACACCAGGTAGCAGGTTGAATTCAACCTTCTTCGTACAGCTAGTTCATGAAAACAACTTGGGCGCTGGTGGCTCATGCCTGTAATCCTACCTACTTAGGAAGCTGAGACCTGAGCATTGCGGCTCAAAGCCAGCTGGACAGGCAGGAAAGTTCTAAGACTGACCTCCAGTTAACCACGGAAAAGCCGAAGGTGGAGGTGAGGTTCAAGTGGTAGAGCACTAGCTTTGAGCAGAAAAGCTTAAGAACAGTGCCCAGGCCCTTAGTTCAAGTCCAAGGACTGGCACAAAAAAATAACAAAACAGAAAAAAGGAGATAAAACTCCCAGTTAGCGCTTTCACAAAGACTTGGATGAGGTCTGGGCAGGACAGCGGAGGACAGGAAGACATGTGCCTCCAAGTCCTGCTTTCCCGCGTGGGAACCCTGGGAGCACACATGGAAAGCCAGTACCAGTGCACTTGGGAGAGGAAAGCTATCAGACTGGGGAGAGCTTTACTTCCCTGAAAATTAAATGCACTTGTCCTAAAGATAGGGGCCATGCATTAATAAGTTCTCTGAGTTATATATACTTACACATATATGCCAACGTGTATGTCTATACACTTATGAGCTAAAGTGTCACTTTTCAGGCCAGGCTAGTTATAGCTGGTCTTTCTGCCTCTACTTCCTGAGTGCTGGGATTCCAGGGGTGCATCACCATACCCAGCTTGTTTACTACATTATCAATCTACTGTCCAGGTCTCTTTCCGTATCCCTGGGGGATGGTTCCAGGTTCCCTGTGGAAACTAAGATCATGTAGTTTGCATGGGACGTACCCATTCCCCTGAGACCTTAAATCACCTGGGGACGACAGCAATAGATTGTAAGTGCACTCTAAAAGCGTAGTAAACTCATACTGTAAATCCCTCCCACCCCCACCCCCAACTCCATTAATCATGGAGTCTCACAGGCTTTTCTGCCTAGGCTAGCCTCAGACTGTGATCCTCAGATCTCAGGGTCCAGAGTAGTTAGGGTTACAGGTGTGAGACCCCTGCTCCCTGTGGTACTGCATCTGTGAGGCACGAGGACGAGTTCTGTACCTGCCCAGGGCAGTTAGGGTGCTGTTGCTGCGCTGCACATGGTTGTCTGCCAGCTCCGTGCCCACTAGGAGGACTGCTGTGCAGCCACCCAGGCCACTCCTGGCCGTGCTTGTCTTTTTTGGGCATGGACAGGAGCGGAGATGAGGGCTGGAGGTCCAGGAGCTCATAGGTGACTTCCCTTTCAGCCTCTGGATGAAACCAGCCAGATGAGTGACCTTCCGGTGAAAGTGATCCACGTGGAGAGCGGGAAGATCCTCACGGGCACCGATGCCCCCAAAGCCGGCCAGCTGGAGGCTTGGCTGGAGATGAACCCAGGGTGAGTTCAGCTGCAGAGATGGACAGTGGTTGCCCTGCAGGGTTTGGCCTGGGGCAGAGCGAGGTGTGGCTGCCATCTGGCCCCAGGCCTGCGGGCTCCTAGGGCCTTGCACTGAAGCGCCGCCATTACGTTCCAGGTATGAAGTGGCTCCAAGGTCTGATAGCGAAGAGAGTGGTTCAGAGGAGGAGGAGGAGGTAAGAGTCCCACATGGATCTTTCAAGTCATGGGCCCTTCACCCCGTGTGCGTCTGCCCCGCCCCCTGTGGGCCTTCCCCCTGCACTGGCTGGGCATGGTGTGGCAGGGGCAGCTGAGCCCCAGGCTTGGCTGAAAGTGGGTGTTTCAGAGCTGTGCTGACCTCTCGCCACACTGCACATATGACTGTTTCCATCTTCCATTCAATTGATGAAGTGCAACTTAAAGTTCATCTTCTTGGTTGCACTAGCCAATCAGAGCTCCGCATCTGAGAGCGGGCTCTATGATTTTCCCATTTCCACCAGCTGTGTGTGTCAATGAACCGTGATGCTCTGTGCACTGTGTGTGTGGCCCCAGCCTGACGCGAGCTCCAGGGTCTCCTGTGGCTTCAGCTCTCTGCTTCCTGCTCTCCCCATCCTCACATAGCACCATGTGCTCCCAGGGCATCTGGGATTTGCTCTGGAGTAGGCAGATTGGCATACTATTTAATCCAGGCTCTGCACTGACTTGGGTTACTTAAAAAGTTACGTGCTTTTTCAAAATGCCCAGTAGAGTCTGAAGGTAACCTGTTCCCTATCTATGTTTTTGGTTTTTGGTTGTTTGTTTTTTGCTGGTCCTGGGGCTTGAGCTCAGGGCCTGGCTGCTGTCCCTAAGCCTCTTTGTGCTCAAGGCTAGCGCGCTACCACTTTTGGCTTTTCTTGAATAGTTGATTGGAGATGAGAGTCTCGTACACTTTTCTGCCTGTGCTGGCTTTGAACCATGATTCTCAGCCTACTGAATAGCTATGATTTACAGGAGTGAGCCACTGGCGCCCAGCTCTCTCTATTTTTTAAGTAAATGAGTTCTTTGTCAATCATATTTTGTTGTTTTGTCTTGATTGGTTGTGGGGCCTGAACTCAGCCTGGGCGCTGTCCCTCAGCTCTTCAGCTCAAGGCTAGCGCTCTACCACTTGAGCCACAGCGCCACTTCTGGCTTTTTCTGCTTATGTGGTGCTGAGGAATCGAACCCAGGGCCTCACGCATGCAGGGCAAGCGCTCTACCACTGAGCCACCTTCCCAGCCCATGGTTTTGGTGCCGGGAATGGAACTAGGGCCTTGTGCATGCCAGGCAGGCGCTCCCGCAGAGCAGCCCTCCGCTCCTACTGGCTTTCCAGCTGTTGTAGTGAGGCGCACCTTTGTCCAGAACAGACCTGGTGCCCGGTAAGGGCACAGCTTGGGTTTGTTTGAGCATCAGAAGGGAAAGCTTGCTCCAGCGTGGTGCCAGTGAGGTGCCGAACCCTCCTTCAGCCCAGGATGCCCCATCTGCCAAGAAGAGTACAGATGTCCGTGAAACATCTGTGCCGTGCTGGCTGTGGCTCTGGCCTTCCTGCGTGTGGCATGCTGTCCAGGCCCGGCATGCCTTGTGCATTGTCGACTTGAGTTCATTGTCGACAGTCCACATTGCCGACTGTCTGCCAGTCGGTGGACAGTGTTTTCCATTCGTGACTATGGCAAATAGTGCTGTGCGGACGCAAGCATACCTGTGTGGATGGACATGTGTTTTCGTTTCTCTTGGGTAGATACCTAGGAGTGGAATTGCTGGGTCACGTGGTAAGTGTATGTTTATCTTTTTAAGACACTGCCAAACCATTTTCAGAGTGGCTGTGCCATTTCACAGGCCCCAGCTTCCATGTCCTCTCGCCAGCACGTGGTGGTGTGTGTCCTTTCGGTTGAAGACATGTTAGTGGCTGTGTGGTGCTCTTGTCTTTGTGCTTTTAATTTCCATTCTCCAGCCACTAGTGCGGCGCGTCTTTTCATACACGGTTACGTACCATTCATGTAATATGCAAACCTGTTCAAATCTTTGCCCATTTTTAATTAGATTATCATCTTGCCAAGTCATTAAGTCCCGTATTTAGTCTAGATACACATCTTTGACTTAATACGTAATGTGCAAGTAACTTCTCCCAGTGTACTTGGTTGGACATTTTCTTACTGATGCCTTTCTTTGAGCTGTAGGATCAGTTTAATGTTGGTGAAATCAAATTCATCTTTATGTTGCTATTTTTGTTACTAAGTAGTTTTGCAAAAGGGTTAGAATTCCGTAAGTCAGTTCATGAGTACAATGCTCCTTATTCAGTATTGTCCCTTCCTTTATTCTTCCCTATTTGCTGCCTCCTATCCTCAACAAGATTCAAGACCGGGATTGAAACTTGGTATCTAATGCTTGCTTTTACTCCTTGGCTGGCACTCTATGCCCTGAGCCACTCTTCCAACCCCTCAACATTGTTTTCTTTAATGAAATGTGCTCTTACCGTTGAAGAATTATTTAGGATGCTTGTAATCCTAGCTACTCAGGAGACTTAGATTGGAGGATTGAGATTTGAAGCCAGCTCAAACAGGAACATCCATGAGACTCTTAGCTCTAAGTGTCCACAAAAAGCCAGAAGTGGAGCTGTGGCTCAAATGGCAGAGTGCCAGCCTTAAGCACAAAAGCTCAGAGACTACACCTAGGCCCAAACTTCAAGCCCCAGAGCCACACACACCCCAAAAAAATTTTTTATTTGCATAACCCAAAAATCACATAGATTTTCCTATTTAGATTTCTTTCTAGAAGTTTTATATTTAGGATCATTAAAAACCAACAGACAAAACATTTTTTTGCCTGATAGAGGTGGTTCAAGCCTGTAGCCTAGATATAATGAGGAGGCCAAGATCTTAGAATTGTGGTTTGAAGCGAGCTTGGGCAGAAAAGTCCGGGAGACCTTTCATCTCTAATTAACCAGCAAGGAGCCAGAAGTGGAGGTGTGGCTCAAGTGGTAGATCGCTAGCCTTGAGCAGGAAAAAGCTATGAGACAGCACCAAGTCCTGAGTTCACACCCCAGGACTGCATACAAATATCTACACCTATACTTGATCCTGTGCCCAGTGGTTCATGGCTGTGAGCTTAGCTGCTGTGGAGGCTGAGAGTAGGAGGATTGTGGTGTGAAGCTGATCTGGGCACCCCACATTGTTCAGGCTGGTCTAGGTAAAAAAGAGGTTACCTAAAAATATTCTGAGCAAAAATAACCTGAGATGTACTCAAGTTGCCTGCCTAGTAAGCTTATTTTCTGAGCCCAAACCACAGTACTATCTCCCTCCAACAAAGAAACAAGCCTCACGAAATTTATTCCGGAGGCTCTGGGCGGGTCAGGCCGTTGGAGGAATGTTCGGCCGAGCACGCCCCCTATGGCCCGCCCACTGCACTGCCGGCTCAAAAGACACAAACTGACGCCACAAAGCAAAAAAAGAAAAAAAGAATTTGCTAGAGATCTTGTTTCAGCCTGGCCTTTGAAAACAATTCTCTCGTTGCCAGTCCTGGGGTTTGAGCTCAGGGTCTGGGCTGTGTCCCTGAACTTTTTTGCTTCTAGGCTAGCCCTCTACTACTTGAGCCACAGCTCTCTTCAGTGAGAGTCTCATGGCCTTCCCTGCCCAGGCTTCATCCTCAGCTTCAGCCTCCTCAGTAGCTTAGATGAGAGCCACTGGCGCCCGAGTCAGCCTGGGTTTTTATGGCAGGTAGATTTTTTTTTCCAGTCCTGTAGGTTGAACTGAGGGCTTGGGCTGTTCCTGAGCCTCTCTGTGCTCAAGGCTGGTGCTTTACCACTTGAACCACAGTGCCACTTTTGCCTTTTTCTGTGTATGTGGTCCTGAGGAATAGAACCCAGGGCTTCATGCATGCAAGGTAAGCACTCTACCACTAAGCCACCTTCCCAGCTGCAGCAGGTAGATTTTTAAAATTTTAAATGAACTGTTATGGGTTGTATTTATTGTTTGTTTTTAAATTATTTCTATTCACTTTTGTTTTCCTAGGAATTGACTATTTCATTTAAGTAACATGACAATGAAGATTAAAAGTTTTGGGGGCAGTAATGGGACTTGAACTCTAGGCCTTATGCTTGCTAGATAAGCAGTTAACCACTGAACCATACTGCCAACCTTTTTTTTTTTTTTTTGCTTGATATTTTTGAGACTATGCCTTACTTCCTGCCTGGGCTCATGCCTAGGTCACAATCTGCCTGTTTTAGGGTTTTTATCAGAGCTAGAAGAACAGGTGCACCCAGCTCTTACTTGAGAAGGGTTCTTGTGGACTTCCTTGCCTTGATAAGCCTTGAACTATTAGCCTCCCAATCTGAGCCTTCCACATAGCTAAGATTACAGCTGTGAGTCACTAGTACCTTGTTCCTTATTTTTATAGCAACCCTATATTTCTGTAGAGTTGGTAGTTATCATTTTCATTGCTGATGTTGATGATTAGGCTATTTTATTTTACTTTTGACCATTCTAGGCTTAGATTACTAATGGGAAACTTTTCTTTTACTGGAGCTTGAATGGGAGACTTCTTTTTTTACCAGAGCTTGAATTCATGGCCTTGTGCTCTTCTCTGTTTTGGTCATGATGGGTACATAACCACTTGAGCCACATCTCCAGTCCTTTTTTTTTTTTTTGCTTTTTATGTGACAGCATCCCTCATATGTCTCCCAGATGAGCCTTGAATTTGAGATCCTTCCATTTTACTTTCCAAGTGCTACAATTTGGCACAGTAATTTTGCAATTAATACTAAATTCAGAACTAGAGGTATGGCTCAAGTGGTCAAGTGCCAGCTGTGAGTGGAAAAGCCAGACCACCCAGAGCTCAAACCCTAGTACTTGCACAGAGAAATACAAAATCAAGCCGGGCGCCGGTGGCTCACCTGTCGCCCTAGCTACTCAGGAGGCTGAAATCTGAGGATCATGGTTCAAAGCCAACCCCAGGCAGGAAAGTCTGAGACTCTGACCTACAATTAACTTCCAGAAAACTGGAAGTGGAGCGGTGGCTCGAAGTGGTAGAGAAGGCAGTCTTGCACACAAAAACGGTCAGGGACAGCACCTAGGCCCAGAGTTTAAGTCCAGTGACCGGCAACAACAACAACAACGATAAAATACTAAAATTTTGACCTAATTTATCTCCATTATCCTTTTCTTTATGATGTTACTGTCACTTATGTTAATCTATGTTATATATCCAACAACATAGTCTTACAATTATTTTTTAGTGTATTTCAAATAAATATTTATTAATGTTCCAGTAACATGTTGAAAGAGGGCAGAGAGTAACAGAAGTCTTTGGTTTAGCTGGGCGCTGGCAGCACACACCTGTCATCCTAGCTATTCAGGAGGCTGAGATCTGGGGATCATGGTTCAAAGCCAACCCTAAGCAGGAAAGTCCATGAGACTCTTATCTACAGTGAATCACGAGAAAACCAAAATCAAAATGGTAGAGTGCTTACCTTTGAGCAAAAACTGCTCAGGGACAGGGTCCAAGCCCTGAGTTTTTAAAAAAAAAAAAAGCCAGGCACCAGTGGCTCACACCTGTAATCCTAGCTACTCAGGAGGCTGAGATCTGAGGATTGCGGCTCAAATCCAACCCAGGCAGGAGAGTCCATCAGACTCCTATCTCCCATAAACCACTAGAAAACCGGAAGTGGCGCTGTGGCACAAGCGGTAGAGCGCTCACCCTGAGCTGAAGAGCTGAGGGACAGTGCCCAGAACCAGAGTTCAAGCCCCACGACCAAAAAAAAGTCTTAGTTTCAAATAGAGGAAGAATGGGGCAGGAGAGAAGTGTACGTAAGGGTCGCACTGCGTCCTTTGGAGGTTTCGCTGCTTTGTCCATTGTCTCTGGTTTGTCAGAGGGGTTTGTTAAAACAAGAAAGTCATTTTGGGCCTGGTAGGTAATTGTCACAAGCTACCTGTCATTTCTTTCTGGAACACAAAATGAGTAATTCCTTGCTTTTGAGGCCATCTGAAGAACATAGATCTTCAAAACTATTATGCTGAGGGTCCGTGAGTCCAGTTCCCACACATACCACAGCCCCTTATGATCAACACCAGAAGCCATTAAGTGGTTGTTTTACTGTCAGTTAGCAGGGGTGACTCCCGTCCTTTGCAGCTTCATCAGTGCTGGTTACTGTGTTGGCGTGCAGCTCATTTAGAAAGAGACCTGGGAGGTCAGGGCAGAAAGTGGGGCGCGGCTGTCTTGTAAGAGTCGGCCTCTGTCTGGCTCACCATTCTGTCACTGGGATGGATGAGCTTTCCCCTTCTCTGCAAACCCTCAGCTCCTGAGAGTTTTCAAAAGCATTTCAAGGCATCTCACAACAAGAGGAATCTCACATGGTGGACGTTTCAGCAAAGATTTACAATCTTAGACCAACACGAAGAGGGAAAAATAGGAAAATAACTACAATAGTTTCTTCTTCGCCAGGCAGGAAACAGGAGTTAAAGATGCTTTATAATGAATGCTTTATGCACGCTTATCACTAGCTGGGCAATCTTATCATTAATGTGGTAGCAGAGAGGAAATAAGAGAAGACCAGAGAAGGTTTCTGCTACTATGTCTTTTCTGCTGTAAGACTTAGGGTTCTGTTTTTGTGTTGGGCTCAGCACATCTTCTACCTTGGAACGCCCCCTCCCGCCTCTCTAGCATGGTTTAACTAAGCCCTGTGCCCTGGACATAAGTTCTCCGTCTCTGTATTGGGGAACGTCTTTCTTCAGCCTGCAGGGTTTTTTTTTTTTTCAATTTCTTTATTGAGATTAAGTGATTACATTAGTTTCACAATATTGTGGCATAGTGATACTTAGCTAAAGCCACAAACACATGCTAATCTTCACAAGGCAAATTGTCATTATCACCGTCTATAAAGCTGGTGAACTTGATGAACTTTGACAATAGAACTATTTCTTCCACATCGGTGACGTGTACATTTCTTTCCTTCTGCTTAATGTGAGCTGTTCCCTCTTTCCCTCTCCTTCCTTCCCTCCCTCCCATCGCTGCCCTTGAGTTGCTCAGTTTACTTTCATCAATGTCCAGGGCAGCTGATAAGCCTCTCTGCTGTATTTTTTCACCTGCTTCCCTCTGATTCTGTGCCCTCCTCCTAGTTTCCCTCAGATGTGCACATGTATGTACCATGTGTGGGGTCGAGAACAAAGAGACATCTAAATATAATATGACAAATTAAGAAGAGGTCCTTTGTTTGAGTCCTGTTTACTTTGTCTTATCTCATTGCGGTTTGAGTTTAACATCTACGTATCAGGGAGACCATGTGCCGTTTGTCCGTCTCTCTGATCTTGGCTTGTTTTGGTCAACATGCTTTGTTCTAGTTTCATCCATTTCCATTATTTTGTTCTTTCGGTCAGCCTGTGGCTTTGGGAGGGGTCGTCTAGCTGCACTTGGAGGTCCTGGCTTTTTTTGCTCCCAGGGGGATGGACGCATATTATGAGGCACTAATTGGCAGCCTGTCATTTCAGAGGAAAATGTTGCCACTAATTTTATTCCTACTCTCCCTTATTTTACATGGTTATTTTGTTTTCTGTTTTAGATTTGTCTGTTTTTAATGTCTTGTAATATGTTTGCAAAACCTTCCCTCCCCCCTCCCCCTTCCCCGTCCTAGGGCTTGAACTTGGGGCCTGGACTCTGTCTCTGAGCCTCTCTGTACTCATGGCTAGCACTGCACCACGAGCCACAGCGCCACTTCCGGCCTTTTCTGTGTATGTGGTACTGAGGAACTGAACCCAGGGCTTCCAGCATGCTAGGCAAGCACTCTACCACTAAGTCACATTCCTAGCCTCGATTTTCTTTTTAATGGGTTTAATGGGTTCACCTTTCTTTTTAGTGGACAGTTATCTTTTTCATCAAATATGGGAAGTGTTGACATTCTGTATTTCTTGGCTTATGCTTAAATAGGAATTCTTTCCATTCTCTGTACATATTGACCCAAACTTTGGAATGAATGATAATTACATCTACTTCAAAGACTTTGTATGCTGATTTGAAGAACGTCAGTGAACCGAGACAGGTTCTATTGAATTCTCTCCTTTCCTCCCTTTTTCCCTTCCTCCTTCATTTTCCCTCTTCCTGTCTGGTGTGTTGTAGCCAGGTTGGATTCTGATTCTCTGTCTAGCGGGCGGGCTGGTGTTTCCTTTGCTTGTGTGTTGAGTGCCTTCCCTGGGCTAATCCTGTGGCGTGGGGCTGGTTCCCTCTCCTTCGGCTGTGGCCCTCAGGGCAGTGACGGCCGCGGTTGTGCAGTGCAGGCCTCCTGTGTGCTGTCACCCTGGTTAGTGCTTTGTCTTCTCCTCTGAGCACATGCGCAGTTCCACCTCAGCGAGCCCCTCCCCTCCACCTGTGCGGTAGGCTCTGCTGCCCCTCCCCCTCCCCCTTCCCGTGATAGAGTGGAGAGAGGGAGATGGACGTGGTTCTGAATAACATGCTTTTCTCCCTGGAATTCAGCCACTTTGTCTTTTGCTAGTCCTGTTGAACTTAGGGCCTGGGTGCTGTCCCTGAGATGTTTTAGCTCCAGGCTACTACGTTACCACTGGAGCCAGAGCTCCACTTGTTGGTGATTAATTGGAGCGAAGAGTTTCGCTGATTTTCCTGGCTTTGAACTGCTATCCTTAGATCTCAGCCTCTTGAGTTGCTAGGATTATAGGCATGAGCCACTGGTGCCTGGCCTGTTTTTTTTTTGTTTTTTGTTTTGTTTTGTTTTTTTGGTCCGTCATGGGGCCTGAACTCTGGGCCTGGGCGCTGTCCCTCAGCTCTTCAGCTCAAGGTGAACGCTCTACCACTTGAGCCACAGCGCCACTTCCAGCTTTTTTTGGCTTGTGTGTTGCTGAGGAATTGAACCCAGGGCTTCATGCATGCAAGGCAAGCGCTCTACCACTGAGCCACGGTCCCAGCCCTGGCCTTTCTTTTTTTTTTTTTTTAACTCAGCACTGGGGCTTTGAACTCAGGCCCTCATGTTCTTGTTTGGCTTTTTTCCCCAAGACTGGTGCTCTACCTCTTGAGCCACCGTTCCACTTCACAGCCACTTTTTGAAGGCTAATGCTTTTCAGACTGTGCTGTGCCTTCGCTCAGTTCTGGGACCTCTGTAATAGTTCCTTTTGGCAATTTTGCCCCAACTCAAACGTCCCCTTCTCAGGCTGGGAGTCCCCTTCGCTCTCTCAAATTCAGTACCTCCCCCCCACTAAAATTCCAGTCTGGTCCTCTTCAGGAGGGAGCGTCTGCCAGGGACGCCCTCCGCTTCACCCCCCATGCTGCCACCATCTGCCTGCTATTCCTCGCGACCTGAACGTTACCTTGCACGATCCCAGGGCCTCTCTCTGCTTTTCGATCAGAATTACTCAATAGGTTAATGTCACTTCTTTTAAGCTGTGTAGCAGGTCCATGAGAGGCAGAGGAAGGTTCCCTTGTGTTGTGGTTTGCTTTATACAGAAAGGCAAGGATGCTCCTTGTTGATTTCACCACGTGTCACACGAGAGCTCGAGTCTGCTCAGTACACACAGGAGGGAGGGCCTGGGGGCAGCGTGCTCACTTACTGTCCTCCTTGTAGGCGGGAACGGCCGCCCCTTCCCAGCAGCACAGCGAAGGCCGCTGTGGTGTGACTAAGACTGTGGACATCGAGAGAATAATAATCTGGGGGTGCTGTGTGAGCCAAGGCAGAGTCTGGGGTACCGGCCTTGGCAGGCGTGGCGAGGTGTAGAAAGCCCAGCAGCCAAATCAGGGAGGCCTTCTTCAACGTGTAGAGTCCAAGCCATCCTAGGAAGGGGAGAGGGGCGCCCCGCTCCATGGGCTGAACCCAGGTCACCAGGTCCTGTCTTGGTAGGAGGAGGAGGAAGAGCAGCCTCAGCCCGCGCAGCCCCCCACCCTGCCCGTGGAGGAGAAGAAGAAGATCCCCGATCCAGACAGCGATGACGTCTCAGAGGTGGACGCACGGCACATCATCGAGTAAGGCGCCGGCCGCAGAGGCCGCCCGACGTCCTGCACACACACATCTCGGTGGCTGCTCCACCGATTGCCACTTGGCGCTTGTGCACGTAGATCTGGGCTTGTGGCGTGCCATATCTCCTGGACATGGCCCTGGATCCTTGCGCCGAGCGCGTCTTCCGCTCACCGCCAGCCTCGCGTCCGTCCTGCCGGTGGCGGCGCTCACATCCGCACTTGCAGGAGTGCTTTTCCCAGCGTGGTCACTGCGCAGGCGCTGGCTCGTGACTGCTCGGCTGGGAGATGGTGGAGTGTGAAGGGAAGATGGCGGGGGGGGGGCTTGCAAGTACATGCTCCATAGATGGGGGTGCCCTGTCCACGGGCCCCATTCTGAGATGCCCCTCCTTAAAGTTTTGCCGCTGGGAGCATTTCTGATGTTCAGATTGAGAAAGTTTGATCAGGTGAAGTCCATGCAAACATTTCAAAATCCAGTCAACTCCCAAATCCTGGCCACTTCTCTTAATAAGGAACACACTTGGTATTCCTCATTTTTGGGGTGGGGGCCATATTGGGGTTTGAACCTGGCCTCGTGCTTGTGGGGCAGGCGCTGGCCTGGCCCCCAGCCTTTTGAATAACAGTATAAAGGAAAAGCTGTTTATTGGAAGCTGGGTGTTGTGGCTTACCGCTGTAATCCCAGCAGCTGATGAGGCTGTGACCTGGATGTTTGTGGTTTGAAGCCAGACCAGACAGAAAAGCCTTGTGAGACTATCTCCAATTAACCAGCAAAATGTTGGACTGGAGGTGTGGGTCGCATGGTGGATCACGAGACATAAGCTAAAAGTAAGGCCCTAAGTTCGAGCCCCATTTCTAGCACCAGTTAAAAGGGGAGCGGGCAGATAGATCCTCAGACTACTGAACAAAGCGTGGCTGTGGGTTTGTGGGCAGCCGCTTGGTGGGTGTTGATTTTCCCTGGAGCCTCTGGGCTCGCCACGGCACAGGTGGCCATGTGGGCCGCGGTCTTGTATGAGACGAGACGAGTGACCAGTCCCTCCGTGGGACAGGAACTCCAGGCACCTGGGCTCCAGGCTCTGTCCTGCGTGGGGCCTGGCGGCCTGGCGGCCTGGCTGGCCTCAGTTGAGCCCACGGGTCTGCTGGAGCACGTGGTCGCCGCGGGGTCACCTGTGCTCACTGGGTACCCGCCCATCTCGCCCCCAGGAATGCCAAGCAAGACGTCGATGATGAGTATGGCGTGTCACAGGCCCTCGCCCGCGGCCTGCAGTCCTACTATGCTGTGGCTCATGCTGTCACCGAGAGAGTCGACAAGCAGTCGGCGCTGATGGTTAATGGGGTCCTCAAACAGTACCAGGTGAGGCGGGTGTCACTGTCACCGTGTGCCTGTGTGGCTCGCGGCTCCAGGGAACCGACTCCACTGGCCTCTCTCGGTCTCTGGGGAGCGTGCTCTTCCCTGGATTCCAAGCCACCGTGTCCCCTGGGGGGAAGCACATACAGAGAGGGGTTGAAACTGCACAGAGCCTCTGGGTGCTGGGTGCCTAGGTCTGTGCCAGGCAGAGCGCCAGGAGCACCCTATGTCCTATGGTGTGGCCAGATGGACAGTCTGTTGTCCCCTTATCTTGGTGGTGCGGGAACCAGAGGAATGGCTGCGTCAGGCCCCAGACGCGGGTGCGCACTCGAGAGCGTGCTCAGCACTTGGGACGGAGCCGGCAGCTCCAGTCAGGAGCCGGTGCCAGCGCCAGGCTCCGTCCCGCCCTCGAGGGTTGCCCTCGGGAGCAGTCCCGAGGCCCGGTCCACCTCCTCTGCCCGCCAGAGGCAGCAGGACTGGGTCTGCCAGTGGTGCTGGTGTCCCTGTTTGCCAGGAGGGAGCTCTCGGGCGTCCATGTCCACACGTGGCCTGAGGGGGAAGGTGGCACCTTGCCCAGAACTTCTGTCTTGTTGTGTTAGGAAAATGGTCCAGTTTTCCTTCCAAGTGTTAGATTTAGCATGAAAAGTTTTCTCTTCAGTGTCTGAATTTCTGAATGCTCTTGAGATTTGAAAAGCCCTTCATTTCAGGGTCTCCTCCCCTTCTCCCCTTCCTCCGCCCCCCTCCCCCAGGGTGTGGGGATTGAACTCTGGGCCTGGGCACCGTCCCTCAGCTCTTCAGCTCAAGGTGAGCGCTCTTAGCATGTGAGCCACAGCACCACTTCCGGTTTTCTGGTGGTTTACTGGAGATGAGTCTCATGGGCTTTCCTGCGTGGGCTGGCTTTGAACCATGATCCTCAGATCTCAGCCCCGAGTAGCTAGGATGACAGGTGTGAGCCACCAGTACCTGGCTTTGTTTTGGGTTTTTTTTTTTTTTTTTTGCC